ACTGAGCTGATGACCAACTAGAGACAGGTGGCACAGGACAAACAGGTGAGACTAATGAAGGCAGGAAGTCAAGGTGGAAAACACACAAGGAGCAGAAACTACAAAATAAAACAGGAAACAGAGTGGGACACAGGATGAAACAGAGTGGGACAAAGAATGAAACGGAGTAGAAGCAAAGAAACAGGTAAAGATACAGATATAGATATAATAAACAGGTAGTCCATAATCAAAATGAAAACTCTCTTTTCATTAAAGAGGCAAAAAGTCCAGAGTCATGACATAAACAGGCCTCGAGATCCATAAAGTATTCTCTGAGAAACCAACAAAAATGTTGAAATCGCACAATGTTAATGAAATTAAAAACAAGTTTGTGGATCAGCCCCTTGATCCTGTTCAGCACCATAATTTCACATCATTCCACCAAGTTACGTGGTAATCTGTCCTGTAGTTTTTGCGTCATCCTGCTAACAGACAGACAGACACGGACGAAAACCTCATCTCTTTGGCAGAAGGTAAAAATCTTTTCAAATGGAAAAAAAAAACTGTTCCCTGTGTTTTATTACAAAACATAACTAGAAACCTCAGTCCCCTCATGAAACCACATTTAAATTCACTAGATCGGGAAACTCAATATCAAGATCCATGAATTACCCTCTGAGAAAAGAAGTAAAAATGAAAAATGCCCTATTTCATAATGAGTGTTAAAATAAAATCCTGGGTCTGCACAAAATTTTACAGGTTCCTCTCTGACCCATTTTAAATCATCTCACCAAGTTCACCATTCAGTAGATTGTGTATAATCCTGCCAACTAAGAGACAAACGAACTGACTGGACTAAATGAAAACAAAACTTCCTCGGCAGAGATAAATATTGTTCTCATCACTATGTCATATCGAGAAATTAGGCTGGTTTAAAAAACAAAAAAACAATTACACGCATTATTTTAGTAAATGTCACCTCACACCTCTTAAAGCTTATTACACTGACACAGCAAATCCTGAAGCTGAACATGCACCAAATATCACAAATGAAATGAGAAATTATGTTTAAATTATAGACGTCATGCCTTTAAAAGGATTTAAACTTTGGCCCCTTTGAAGAGGTGATGCTGTTTGCATGTGTAAGTGTCTGATCGATCGCAGTCCCTGAGATGTCCTGATTAAATAAAGGTTGAACAGCTTAAACAGCAATTTGTGGCAGAAATCAAAACCAGTCATTTTCAGGTGGAGATGGTCAAACACTCACGTGCTGTTGTAGCACTGGAGAACTCACAGACACTCACGATGACAAGACCTCTCCTCTAAAAGTTACGTTCCATATGAAAAACAGAAAAAACTAAACTATCTACTGAATAAACACATTTTGCTGATGCTGAACTGATCTCTTAAATACATCAAATATCACATTTGAGACGTGCTTTGATTATAGGATTTCAATAGGATGTTATAGATTAAAAAGTCCAAATCAGACAGGAACGATAACAGCTACAAAAACTTGTGCCAGCTTGAATGTGGATGGAGATAATCGTTTCCATCATGAGTCACAGCGAGCTCCGAGCATTCACACAGTAGGTGCCGTTGCTGCGACTCGTTTCTGCCTGGCTGCTCTAAACGTGCTCCAAATCGCCGTCCTCTCCCATCTTATCTCCCTGCATGCAGGACCCAACCCCAGTTATTTGTGATAATCCACAGATTGTCGGCAGCTAACCGACATTTGTTTTACGACAGATGCCAGATTCAGATAAACATTTAATTAGCGACTCATCAGCTCTGTCAAAGCTAATTACCCCAGTCTCCAGCCCTCGCCAAAAACTGCTCCTCTCGCAGTTGGTCCACACAGCAGCTGAGAGTACACTGGCTGCGGCAGGACACGCCGAGCCAGAGGCAGCACGGAGCAGGGGCCCTCGTATTGTACCAGGATAATCCGGCCATTCTGCCACAGCCAAGTCTTACGGGTCAGAGCAGTGAGTACAATGGGTAAGATAGAATTACAGGCTGAGACCACATTACACTATTTATCAGCGCTTCACACGCCTGTAGTGACAACGACTGCCTGTGTCGACTGCACTTTTGGTCGTCACGACAGCAGATTTGTGCAGGAACACGATATGAATTTTAGGACGGGTGGTGGACGAGTCGTTTGGCTGGCAAGTGCTTTCTGGGAGGTGCAGCACCGAGCGTCTCAAGTGAAAAGAGGAAAAAACAGACAGAAGGTCGGTCTGTCTTTCACCAAATGGCTACTGGGTAATCAGACTGTCTCTTATGTTGTCAGGCATGTTTATACATTATACACATGGAGACATCTCTGTAGCATTCACATTAGGAGCTTCTCTGGACTGACCTGTAACCTAGCAACCGTCTGACGTGCCACACGAGTAGATGATTAAAAGTACTTAGAATAGAACCCTCCACCCTTTTTGACTCCAGCATTCTCTCCTCAGTAACACGCCAAGAACACTCACAACACAAATATGAAATAGACACCGCAACACTTTTTTTCAGACCTTTTGAGAACAGGGCTCTGAAGCTGCTGTCGTCTGCAAAGCCCCCGTCATAAACTGCGAAGTGAAGAGCTGTCATACATCTGGTGCTCTGCACCACTTGATGAGCACAAGTAAATGACATGCGTGCCACTGCAAAAGAGTCTGTAAGGTTGTGTACATTTTTAGTCTTTAAAACCAAAAACACAAGAAGGAATGGGGGTTAAAGCTACAGTCAGTTTGTTGTTGTAAGCTGAAAGTGTCTGAAAATACCCAGCCGTTAGTTCTCAGTAGTAACCCAGCATTCCAAAAAGGAGCTGTTCCAAAGAGCATATCTGCAACTAATGACAGTATTTTGGGATTTCATATAAAAAGATTATTTCAGAGGACGGCCGGGAACATCAAATACCCATGGGACTCATGATGCTGCTATATCACAGTGTGGTGGTATTTTCCAGCTCTATATTTTATTAGGGAAAGTTTACAGTCCAGCCAAACATTACCCAAGACAACAAATGTTGATCCCACTAAATATCAAATAACTCACTGACTGTATACAAAGACGGACGTGATGACAGCTTCCCACAAGTGAAGCCAAAGCATCTTGATTGCCCCCTGGTGGCTGGCTGCAGTATGGGTGCCTCCTGAGAAGATGGGACATGCACCAGACGAAGAAGCAATCCCTGGCCTCCACTATATTCTGTGTTATTGAATATGCTAACATGCCAAACTAAGAAGTTTAATATGGAATGGAATATGGTGCAGAGAATTTAAATTGTGACTGTGAGCATGTTAGCATGATAACCTTCTAAACGCCTCGGAGAGCTGCCGACATAGCCTCTTGTCCTCCTCTATGTAGACATCTAAACAGAGCTAAAGAACAAATACGATTCTGACTCTTCAGGGAGGCTGCTCCTTTCATCCAACAGCTGTGTCTCAATTCAGGGGCTGCATCCTTTGGAGGACTCAGTCTACTTACCCATGAAGGTTTCCTTCTTTGGTTGTCAGAGTGGACTGTGAAAGCTGAACCCAAAAGAAACAGAGGATTTATGTGATCTGCATCACCAGCTTGTCCCGCCCTTGTTTTTTCACAGCTGTATCGTTAGCTGTGCCGAGATTCCCAAGCATCACACGTCTCATCGAAAAACAGTTTGTCACCCAAGCGTAATGAATCCTGGGAAAGGTTGGGCCAGGAAGGATCCACCTGTTGCAGCCTTTGTTTCTCTGGGATGAAAGGATGCATTTATCAGCCGCTTTTGACAGAGCGATCGAAAGGGGACAGCCCAGTGGTACCGCTGTGGCGTAATCAATCTTCGAATGCAGCTCTGAACTCACAGCCCATGTCTTATATGAATCATCAACTTTAGCCTCTGTACACTATAACAACTTAACAAATGAAGTCTGCTAGATCTGCAGAAGCAAGGCCCTTTGGTGTTCAGGTTGATGAAAGTCCACACGTACGTACTTCCCCTCTGACAGGCTTTACAGACAGGGCACTGGTATACATTCCTGCTCTCCTGTTTGTCCACTAGGATGGCCCTGATGAATATGACTGGCATGTCTGATTAAACCAAGCATGCATGTAGCCGAGCATTCTGTTTTTCAAAAAGTTGGAAACACTAAAATGTCTGCAGAAGGAATTTCCTGCAAACTTTCTGAGTTCTAGCCCAACTACAGCTGATAAAATCTATCGGCCACAGCCATTAGTCACAAAATATTGACAGTCACCTGGAAATTGAGAAGCTGTTTTTGTTTACCTCTGTGTGAAATATCTAAACGAAAGATGGTGACGGGGCTCAGCAAAGGGTTAGTTACACAAGTTAGCAATATTTCATCACTTCACATCATCACTAGTCTTTCTCCTGTGCTGAGTCATAGTTGCATGGGCCCTGCAGTGAGTACTTATATATGCACAGACAGAATCAGTTTTAATAATGCCACCTGAAGGCGTAATTTGGGAATTCTACAAAATTGTCTCATCCTGCATCATTGCTGTCCCCCTCCTACTTCTCCCTCATCCGCTCCTCCTCACGCCTCTCGGTCTCTGAGCACGTTGTTAAGGCTCACCAATAACCAGGAGAAGGAGACGCGGGGGAACCTGGACTGGGATGGCAAGAGAACAAGAAAGAAAAAGGAAGATATTTTAGAGCTGGGTTGTGTGCGTGATGTGTGCATGTGCCTCTGCTGTAAACGTTGTTGATTAAGCTTCGCACTTTCTGCTTTGGAGAGGGTTCATTTAATCTCAAATGGGGAGGAGGGAAGAAGAAAGGAGCGAGACAGGGGGACAGAGTTGGAAGAGACGAGGCAGGACTGGGAGACTGGAAACGGGAGATAGGGGAACGACTGCATATAGCCACTAAAGCGGAGCATGTGAAAATAAACCACATGCACAATCTGGCTCAACAAGATAAAACACTGTTATTTTGGAAGACTTTTTGGAAGAAGGTAAATATTAGTGTATAATAACTTGGACACATAAAATATATTCAGTTTATGATAAATTAAGACACCATTATGTAATTAGACAATGTACAGTGTAGGTAGTTTTACAGAAAATGTGTGAAAGCATGCATTAGTTAAATTTATTCAGTGTTATTCCCCAACTAGCTACAGATTTAAAACACCTCCTCACAGAATGACTCACAGATACAGAGCGACTACAGTTTCTCCACTAACACATACGGATAATTAGTATTTTAATAACTTATAAAACAGCCCTCCAAAGTTCAGAGTCTACAGACCAGTCATGGAAGAGTTTAAATGGCTCTGACAGCTGCTGTTAAAAGGAGTTTTTACACTGTGGAATCCTCGAATGGCAACAGACTTCAATGTAACTACACAATGAGAGAGGCTAAAAGGTCTTATTCTGCTGCTTTCAGTAGAAACTGAGTGATGCTCACTCACTGCTGTTACGTTGAGGTTTGACTCTCGAGATAAGACGTGTGAGAATTATATATAGTGTAGTTGAGTGTAACTAACAAACTAGAATTGAGCACACACCTCAGACAAGGTCCAACAGTCCCCTTACATTAAAACAAGTCTTAAGGCTAAGACCACATAATGTGTCTCAGCTACACATTCATAGTTACAGGTGTCCAATTGTTATTTCCCTGTAAAGTAAATATAGGAATAAAACAATAAGCCATTTACAGATCTTACCATGTTCCTTCCTCTGCTGTGTTCCATTGTTCTACATTCTTACAGTAAACTAGCTGCTGTGGCTAACTGCTCAAACCTTTAGCTGGCTCCATTTCTAGTGGAATGAGACCAAAAGCAATACACTGAAGTGGACACACGTGATGGACAGAATTCACCAAAGACTGTGGTTTACACTGTATTTGAGTTGCACTATGTGGTTTGAACTATTATTCACTCCTGTAAGGAGCTGTGGGGTTACCATGGTAACAAGGGCACCGGGAGGGGTTAAAGGGGATGTATTGATGTTACCCTGTAGTTCTCTGCAGCCGGAAAAAGGCTGTAAATAAACGCACACCGAGAGAAAACGAGAAATCTACCGACTACTTTATCCCATCGACTCCTACAGCACCATCTATTCAGAAATGTTGTTTTTATTTCTTCTTTTGTTTTCTGATAACCATTAAACCAATTAAACCATTTAAACACCAACGCCATAATAATACACCCATAACAACAACTTTAAACTTAAGACTATAACAACCTAACAAATTAACTCTGCTAGATCTGCAGAAGCAAGGCTACTCCAGCCAAGGTCCACTTGGAAGGGGGCTCTTTGGTCTTCAGGTTGAAAGTCCACACGTACGTAGGTCCCCTCTGTCGGGTTTTGTAGACAGGGCACTGGTAGATGTTCCTGCTCTCCTGTTTGTCTGCTGGGATGGCTCTGATGAACATGACTGGCATGTCTGGGGTGAGCTCTTTCAGGCGGGCATCTACAATCATGCCGGTCTGAAAGAGAAAGTCCAGGAGAGTTAGGAAGAGGGAAAGAGGGAGGAAGACAGAAACATTTCACAGAGCACAGGGTAGTTATAAATTAATTTGAGCTTCACTGAAAACTTCCTCCACAAGCTGTCCTTGCCATTGAAAAATGACGTTCCTAACGTTCCTTTGTAGGAGAAAAAAACTTGATGTTCGACTTATCACAGCTGGCACAAGCAAAGCTAGACTTTCACTTCGCTGTGCACGATATGGTGGTACCCTTGAAAAGTGGTGAAAGTCAAAGAGTTTGAGTCGAAGTCGAGTCGCCCTGTGTGAGAATACACACTCTCCAAACTGTGGAAAAAGAGTGGTCCGTCTCATTAATTAATCCTACTACACTTAGTGCCTGACAAACAGAGGTTTCTCCATGCATGCACAGTGACTTTCAGGGATGACTGTAAATCCTGATGACTTTGGAAAAGCTCGGAGGACAGAGCCCTAATTGCATCTGCAATTACAATAAAACTTTAAAGACTTGTTAAACACCAATTGCTCCATGTCTGCGAGTGTAAAAACAAATAATTTTTAAGCAGGCCATGTGGGCTGATTGAGATTCATTGTACATTTAGTTTAATGACATTATATATACACTGCTACTACTGCGTCAGAAATCTATTTTTATTTTTTATCTAACTACATATTGAAAATGTATCACGTAAATGTATCAAGTAATCAATAGTTAGTTTCCATCACATAAACACACAAGCCGTCTCTGTGCATTTCTGTCACTGGTGCAGTGCCCATTGTAAACCCGCCTGTTTGAAATGGGCTGTTTGCTTGTAATGTTCTGGAGCTACAGAATTATTCCTTATCATTAATGAGTCCTCCTCAAACAGGCCGGAAATATGCTGTCACTTTTTATTATTGTTTATATATTGTCTACGGTGCAGAGTGAAGTTAGGAAACTTTGTTCATCCTGCCTGATTTATCAGCAATAAAGATTTTATAGTCAATGTTTTTCATAAAATGAAATTGAATTTTCTATATATTTCTTTTATATTTCTACTTATTACTGCTGATGTCTTTTTGCTGATGTAATATTGCCAATTTCCCCACTGCAGGACTAATAAAGGACTTCTTTTTATTAATGTTCACATGCGTGGCTCGTATAAGTTTTGATTTACTGAAATGCTCTAATTTTTTTTATACATTCCATGTCTGCTATTTCAGGGGTCTGTTAAACAATCGCAACAATCTCAGGACCAACGTTCGCAACTTTTCAAAGCAAAAGCTCTGGAAATAAGCTCAATATAAAGCTCAACAGCAACGAAACAAACGTTTTGCTTTTACTTAAAAAGGAAATTGCCAAACAGGAAGTGATTCTGTGAATGACAGAGATTAGTACACGTCAAAGTCTGTCTGTCTGTGTCTCAGTCTGATGTGGTGGAATGAAAAACATCGAAATGATCTGGTGGCAATTAACACACAGTTTGACCCAGTTGCTGACCGCTGCAGTAGTTTGTCACAGGACAAAGAATAAGACATGTTTAACTTTGTCCCCAGACTGGGTGTAAACAGGCTGCCCCACCGACACTGCTCCTGTTTTTAATTTCTGTTAATATTGTATATTAAAATCCAAATAACACCAAGCTCAGCACTGCACGTCCCTGGGATATTCACAATATACATGCCAAGTGTGAAGTGGATTAAAAGAGGGATGAAAGGTTCACGAGACACGTGTTCCACATAGGTGTTTGTGGAACTAGTAGGTAGGTATCCATTCCAAACACAAGGTGTTTATCTTATACAGTATCTAGCTGTCTTTGTGCTCTTAAACCATTGTGAATGGGGTCATTAATGTAGATGAGCAGGCTTATCAAAAATCTTATTATCACTGTACAGAGCCATGTCCAGATGGAGTGCTGCTGACTCTAACTATTCACACTCGGCTACTCCCCGCCAGTGGCACAGAACTGGCCTTGGGGCTGAGAGAAGGACGTGAAGATATGAGGAGGAGGAGGAGGAGGAGAATAAGAGAGGGGGGGTTGTGAGGAGAAGCTGCCCGGCCCGTCTGTCCGCCTGTCTATTTGCCTGTCTCCAACTTTAATGAAGAAAAAAGGAACTGCTCCTCTAAAGGGTGTTCTAAGTGTTCAAGTGCAAACTCTGCACATTCGCTAATTAAGAAGTCTACAGGGATGCTCCTTGAAAGCTGGGTGCATATACAGTAGCGGTATGTATGTAGATAGATAGAGCCCTGGGAATCTGAGTAATGCATTGCGCTCTGAGAGCTGACTGTAAGCAGGATGCAAAAGAGAAAATTAAACCACAAAGGGGATGTGGCAGCCCCTTATAGGGGAGGAATATTCAAGCTACTTTACTTGACTCAGTTTCAAGACGCATTTTGAGGTTAGCTCATCTATGTTGGTCGACCGTCCATCATCAAAAGAAATGTGAACAGGAAAATTTCCCTACAAGGTGCTTGTGAATAGAAGAGTGCAGCTTTTGATTTTGTATTCACACCTTCCCTGGAGGCTGTATGTCCAAACGGATTTACGACAATCAGAAATGGAAGAATGTACCTGTGTGTCCCAGCGTGCACCCTCCATGTACAGCCCGTGTACATACGCCCCTTCACGAGGCGGGGAAGTGAAGTCCTCACGATTCTTCTTGGTGACGTCACACTGCAGACACATGCGGTCCAGAGGCCACTCATTCCTGTCATACACACACACACAGATTTTGCAGTGTCACACCAAGTGGTTTCCATCACAAGCTACAAGTATGATGCCACTGTGAGAACCAACCCTACCTTCGAGCCATAGACTGCATGATGGCTGTGAGGAAGGACTGGGGGTTGAAGAAGCCAGCTAGCCACACTACAGGGGGTAAGACGAAGTCACTGGACCAGTTTTCAAGCTCCTTGATCCTGGCTAACAGGTCAGTGAACCAGAGGGCCAGGCTGGACATTGAGGGATACGCCCGCTTGGTCCAGTTGTCAGGCACTGTGTCCAGGAAAATGGCATTCTGAAGGTTCTCCATTTCACTGGTCATGGTCAACTCTCCCTAAAGGGGGGGGGCACAGACAAAGAAACAATTTAAATCCAGCTGAAATCAGTCAAATAGAAGCAAATGAAAGGATCATGGGAGATCCTTCCTTTAAGGTCAGGAAGGAGTACAAGAGAATTCAAACAGTTTTTGTGAAACAGCAGTGAGTAAAGCACCTCATGGCAGGATTCACCTGCAAGGAGCATTCTAGCAGAACAAGTAAGCAGAACTAGTCTGCTGACTAAGAAGAGTTCACATTGTTTATTTAAGAGACGTACCTTGTGCCATTGACTCTTGTCTCATAACAAGTGCAAACCTCTTGTGAGACGATTTACACTCTGAAAGAAGAGTCTACATCTAAATGATGCAACACAGCTAATTAACTACGATGGCTTCTTCCCTTCCCACAGGCCAACACCTGCCTGTCTGGTCCCAGAAACTGACAGAGGAGCCAAAGATCAAACTGCCATCAGGACAACCTGCTCCACTATCAGTCTTAAGCTCCAGCCCCTCAAGAACATTAAATCAAATTATTTTTGGATACAATCTGGTTTAAGGTTATATTTGTTTCTGTCTAATTGGTTTTGAAGATCTTAGGGCTGAGGTTCTTTTTTAAAGGTCGGGCAGTTAACTCTGTACAATAGCTCAACCCCTATATGCTCTTGGGAAGAATTTTGCCACACTTCAATAGAAATGAAAAATTCAATAATGACAAACCATTGCCATTTTGTGTATGATATTGGATTTTGTTTTAGTCTAAATGTACATTGCGGTGCACACAGGTGTGTTTGTGGACATGTAACGGTCAATGCAAAGCTCCAGAGAAGATACTAAATGGGCCTTTAAATTGAGATAATTTGATCAGAGAACAAGAGTACAGTTGTGTTAAAGAGCAGATTGGCTGAGCTGCTTATGGAGCAGCTAAAAGGCAAATTGAGTGTATGGCTCCCTCCCATCAATAGAAGTCTGGACTAACAAGTTCGTCACACGGATGGATATTGAACTTTCAGTAATAAAGACCTTATCTAGAAAACTATCTGGTTGCACGTCACAGCTCTATTTGTGTTGTGTCACAGCTGCTGTTTGAATTTAAAATACAGAACAAATCACTGTGATGGGTACAGATTTCTCAAGAGGCCAAAGATGTGCACACTGTAGAAGAGAAACAGGACTTGTCAGATGAACATGCATTTCATTACTACTAGAAATATAAATGACCTGTGTTTGCTGTACTTTGATAACAGGTTGTAGTGTCGACATCAGAAAAACTTGTTTTTTGTTTTTTAACTGCTCTCTGAACAGATGGTACCCACACAAACGCTCTTCTTCACCTTGTGAATTTTCATTACGGGAAGGAAATCGGGAGTTAAAAGTGTCACTTCCTCTTTGCCTCCACAGCTAAACATTGGAGGTGACACCTTCCAGCAGCATAAGATGCTGAATGGTCACAAACCGTCAGAAACTACTGATGCATACATAAATATGAAGACAAGCATGCCATGCCAGATAAGGAAAGATGCTTTAAGATAGCTGAGAGAAGATGGCACAAGAGCAATGAGACAGCACAGCTGGGAAACAGTGGTATCCTGCACCCACTGATACTGGAGCTGATTAATGGCTGATTTATAGATATCAATATTTGACAATCATAATAAGATTCTTTATAAGACTGAAACAGATCCAGAGTGTTCAGCAAGTACCTTTCACCTGATCTGTGAGTTCAGCCACAGCACACTTGACATACTTTGGCACCATGAAGCCACACCATCTCAACAAGGCTAGCAATCTGTTCTTTATTCCACTATAAAGAGGAAATATGATTGAATTTGCTGGTACAATAGTCTACATGGCTTATAAATCATTCAGCCGATTTACTGAGGATTGTAGTGTCAGGAGATCGAATCCTCATAACTCCTGACAAATGCTTTTACACTTTTTTTCTCCCCAGTCTTTCTCTCTTTGTTTGTTGTTAACAAAGGAGACAGTCTGACTTGACACACAGAGCGTAAATGTCTCCTTCCTTTGTGCTTCCCTGTAAGCCACATCTCTGAGTTACTCTTAAGACTGGCTTCTGACTAAACAACAGAAAAAAGGTTAATTTCTGCAAGAATACTAATGCAGCCTGTTGGAGTGAACAGCAGCCAAGCCAATGTAGGGCGCATAGGTCGAGAATAATTGAGGGTATTCAGGTGCAATCTGAAGGACAGTTCACTTGAGGTTGATTTGTGTTGCCCTTAAGGTATTTGGGGTCTGTGGAAACCCAAATATAAAGTAGATGGTTCCTGGAGTCAACAAACAAATGAGAAACAATCTCAACAGTCCCCTTAAGTTCAAACAAGCTGCACCAAACTGCAGATAGATATCAGTAATATATGCCAGATTTTTTCATCAAGAACCATGAATAATTCTCTGGAAACCATCTCACAATGTTCAATAAAGTGAAAAAGAAAAACTCCCCATATTGGACTGACACAGACATTCAGGGGTGTACTGGGTGCTGATCTCCATTGTCATGGTAACAACATTAATAGAATCACTTTCTGATTGGTAATTTGTCTTCAAAGTAAAAGCATAACATACATTTTTTGAACTGCAGAGGTTGTATTTTGAAAAGTTGTGAAACTTTGGTCTGAAGATTATGTTAAGGGTTTAACAGACCTCTCAAATAGGATGCAATGTAGGAAGTTAGAAGAAGTAAGAAAACTCTTCATTTATTCTGCCTGGTTTATCTGCAGTGAAAATTTTATTAGTTAACGTTTTTATTGAATCAAAAATTCTATTGTAATACTGATGACATTTGTGGCTTCTATAAAATGATTGGATGATTTATTTGGTGTTATTTTTTTCATACATTGCTGGTTGATTATTTCAGAAATCTGTCATGCAATCAACACAAACTACAAAGTTCACAATTTTTCAAATTGAAAGCTCTGAAAGCCAATAAGATGAACTGTTTGTAATAAATGTGTTCCTCAGTACCTAGCTTCCTTAGTAGGTAGACGCTCATAATCATCATCATCATCATCATCATCATCATCATCACCCCCCTCCTCTGCTATTACAACAGTCCTCTCACCTTCAGTCCTAGGTTGAGCTCATGGAGGGAGCGTCTGATCTCCTGCGTAAGAACGTTCATGCGCTCACACTCCTGCAGCGCCACCACCTGGTAGGGAGTCCTCTCTTCCGCTTTCTCCAACAGCTCGGCCATGTTGAAACTCTCCGGGAGTTTTTCCATGATCTCCTCTAACACCACACGCACCTGATAATATGTGATGGAATGAACAAGTGTGTCAATGAGAGAACTGATAGTAAAAACATATTGTTTGATTAATCTGTTACAATTAAAGAAATACAAATGGAGAGGCAATACGAGAGGATACTGCTGGGAATAAAAGACCATGGAAAACATTGTGTCAGATAAACTCAGTGATACCAAAGCTGGGAGCCTGAGAAACTGTTACAGTTTGAAATAGACAGCTGCATAAATATTCATGAAGATATATTTTGCAACAGCAGCTCTTTGTTTTCAATAACAGTCTAATCCCTCCAGAAAATCAATGCTCACATCATATTTTTGTGGGTAAGTGATGAAAGCTAATGTCTATGTCAACATTTTCCCAAGGCAACCAGCTTTAGTGATCAATCAATGGATTAGGTGCCGAACAAAGGATATGAGGTCATCATATCCATGGATTTTTCAGTTCAAATATCTGATGTGGGTTTGGCAGCAACTAAGCATGCTGAATACGGAGTGGGCCTCATTGGTAAGCTCTGCGTGGCTGTCATATGTTAGGACAGGAGTATCCAGGCTTCTGAGCCAGAAAGGTCACACATCATAATACATCAGGGAATGGACACACGTATACAGACTACACAAAACAGCACTGGTAAAAATAGTTCATTCCATAGCAGGCTGTTTGATACATTCCAGTCATAATTAGTTACACAAGCCTTACTTCAGTCAAATAAATAATAATAATTGGTCTAATAAAAGAGGTTGAATTAAGCCTGACCAAAGTTACCATGGAAACTGTTCCTTCCTGATCTTGGTCCAGTGACTAATTGTGAAAAGTTTGTCTTGAACAAACCAGGCAAACAAGGATTAAGCTTTTTCAGACTAATGTGAAGTCAGGCATACACTCTGCACTACATACAATGTCCAATTTTTAATAAATTTTAGAGTTGGACCAATTATCAGCTTCGTTGTGCATTGTTTGTTATGCAGTATATGCAGGGGGGTATGAGGAGCAATCAGACGGATGAATATCAGACATGTCAGAAATGTTGTCGGCCATCTTCAGTCTCTCGCACAGCTGAAGCATAATCACGAGTCGATTCTCACAAATTTTTCCCTCACTGCGTCTGCGCGGACTGACAGCTCAGGTGTTGCGCAGCACTCAGCTTGTAATCATCAGCTTTACATCATGTGTTCAACTCCTGCATGAATAATCAGAACTTTCCTTGTATCATGAATGTTGAAAATGAATAGACAGGATGACATCAGCACAACTGATAGTTCCCGTCAGTTGGATTTGCTCAGCTTGTAACATAACAGCCTGCATGTGGTGGAAATGCTTTTTCCAATGTTTCACATGAGATGTCTCCTTTGATTTCTGATTGTTTGTGTCTCTAAATATATTTCAGCACCATTTGAAAAGAAAAAACTGTCAAAAATGTTTCTTAATATGATGCCACTGACCACAGTTGTTAAGGAGCTTAATGTTAAACTGCAGTGCATTTAAATGGAAATATGTTAACTGGAGAACTGTACTTAGCTCAGATTTGAACTACACAATAACTGCAGCCTTTGTTAAAATGTGTCTGGTGGATACTCACAGTGATTTTGAACCAAAAAATACAATAAATATCAAAAAATGAAGAAAGAAGAAAGCTCTGATAAAACTACGGCTGAATATTTGTATGTTTTGAGATGTAAAAGAGGTCACTGATTCTGTTGACCTGATTTCCTTGGGCAGATTGTTCCATTGCTCCAGGGCTCTGCCACTTCTAGTTTTCAGCCATGAACAGGTAAAAGTCCACTGTCTCAGGAGCTTAGGCTATGTATTGGATGGTATGGGACTGAGAGGTTTTACTCTTAAATACATGGTATTGAGAAGTGTCTTAAAAGTCCACTGCAAGATCTTTAAATCAATGTGAAACATTGCAGCATTTCCACCACATGCAGGGTGTTATGTTACCTATAAAAACTGAGCAAAATCCAACTGACAGACTCATCCACCCACGCTGCGCGACAGAACGACACAGGAAATCATTCCTGCCTGTTGCTGTCAAATTGTATAATGACAACTTGTAAACAAAGCTTAAACATGTATACTGTGTATACTTTACTTACATCTCTTGTCTATCTACGTATATTGCAGATTTATTTTCAATTATGCTCATCTTTTACTTTTTACATTTGTCTTCATGTTTAATTTGATTTAATTTCATTACGTTGCCCTTCTCTTCCTGCTATACCTGCTTTTTCATCGCTTGCTCAGGAGCTCTGTGACTTTTGAATTTCCCTCTGGGGATTAATAAAGTATTTCTGATTCTGATATAGTTTCTAGAAAATGTTAATTCTGGAAAGAAGTGCATATGAAATTTAGAAAGCTGCTGCAGATTTTGATTGTAAGAAAATATAACCATGTCGATTTTAAAGAGGACAGTGAAAGTTTCACAGAAATTGATGGTGTGAAAGAGGGTTTCTAAAGACAAGCACTGTTCCTGGGTTTGTTGAGTTATTCATAGTGTGAGCAAACAAATATAATGAATCTTACATTAGGTCCCAATTTCTGGACAGAATTAAATGAATAAAACTAAGTTGGCACAAACAAAATCATTTGAATAACGGTTAGGGTGGTATGAGACCTCAAAAGAGGCATTTTAGGTGTAAGTGCACTTAGGTCCTAATTTTAACTACAAATATACCCCTGTGGATGGTTCAGAACAGCTGCAAGTGTTTTTGGACAACCATCTGGGTTTTTCAGACATCACAGGGTGTTTATTTAACAGAAAAACAGATGATTACCACCATGACTCAATATTAAGCTGAGGAGATGGCACAAACCAGGGATGAGCATAAAGAAATCCCCTGTTATTTACACAGTTCTTGCAGATCAAAATGCAATTATTAGGATAATAATATTTTCAGATAGCATACTTTAGAACCACCTCATCATCCAAACGTTTAAAAGCAAATATGTTCTTATGAAGAAAAGATAAATCAGGCTGATGATAATACAAATAACATAACTCACATCCGGCTGCTAGTACAGTTGGCATAATGGATATTTAACAGAGCTAACAGTCAGACAACCTACACCTTATTTATGGTATTAAAACAATCACACTTGCTCTATTGAGTGTTGCAGGGCTACAATCTCTCTGACAGAATGTTTGTTTGAGCTTTTACACTGAACTAAACTTTGTTTCAGGGTGGCACTGAACCAGAAAATGCACCAGAAAATCCCATCCCTTTAAAAAAATCCCCCTGGGTGCTGTCAGATGCCCCAAACAGTTGGTGGACAATTTATTCTCAATTCCTTGTGCAGCAGCTAAAGCAAATGTCACCTGTTGTCATCACACATTGAAGATTTTGCCCTTTTTTTCACACAGCTTAGGTGAAAGAATCGTGGTGGTGAAAGGCCTTGGCTAACATATCTGCTCAGGATGTCTCCTGTGTATGAGGGCTTGACTTTCCAAGGTAAGAATATCATATCAGAATCATAAGCTGAGTTCAGATGCCACCATTATACCTGCTAAAGCCTCACTGGCCTGCAAGTGGGTTTGTCATAACAAACTCGTTATGCACAAAAAGCATTGTTAAAACCCACAGAAGCTGGTTTTATATTCCAGTGCGGTTCCAAAGTTTCCAAAGACGCCAAAGATCTCCAACTGAATTTTGGAGAAAGTAGTATTCATATTCTTTAACAGCACACACATACTCCATTAGATGTTAAAGTCCTGCTTTCCAATTTTTGCTTCATTATTTCTATCAAATGAGATCATTTTTGTAGATTGTGTTAGATTATAAGATTGTTAATACTGATGCATCACATGATAAATGGTTGTGAGACCATCAGTGAAAGAGGAAACTAGAAAAACTGTTTTGATAAAAACAGATGGATTACGGGATTCTACTTTTTTATCATCTTTGCCTTGTGAAATTTAGTTTAGCTTTTTTGGGGGCTTTAGGTTGTTACTTCATCAGCCATTAAGTTAAGAATAGAAACATCTCTTTAAGAAGGAACCAGTGTGTTTAATATTCAACAATGTACTGTATTTTAAGAGCTTAGATGTTTGATGGAATTAGAAAAGAATATGGCTTAGATATTTAACTGACACGGTCAAGCCAGACAAAGTGGAATAAGACTATTTCTCACCCTTAAAGCCAACTGTCCACATAGTGAAGATGATGACTTCTGTGGATAATAAAGTGACCACTTGAAAGTCATGCTTTTAATCAGGCTCAAGAATGTATCAATCAAGTGAACAGTTAAAGCAACTAAAAACAACAGAATGTGAGTTTGGACTGACATGTTAACCTATACTGTATTATTACATTGGACAGTATTGACAAGAAGTACCTTTATTTTGAAGTAATCTATTTACTTATTATCTTTGGTAATACTTTAGCTTCATGATGATTCGTGATTTTAAGAATGCGTACTGTTATTTGTAAAGCTACAAACTATTATGTATTTAATGAGTGTTTATGCTCTGTAATAGACAATGGGCAGTATGCATCAGTCAAATTTATACAAGCAAAAACATGTCCTTATAATTTTCTTTTTTCTAGATATGGAAAAACTTAATCCTTCCTGTTTCTTTATAATAATGTGCACAAAACCTAACCTGTAATAAAATGGTCTCCCAGTGTGGAAGTTCTTAATTGGCCTGCACAGAGCCCTGACCTCAACACCTTTGGGATTAACTGGACTGTATACCATACGTTATCAGCCAACATCAATGCTCAAATCCCTGCAGCCAGGTCCTAAGTCTGTTGGGAAGCCTTCCCAGAAGGGTGGAAGCTGCTGTAGCAGCAGATTAATACCTGTGGTTTTGGACTGCGATGGTCAACAATCACATATACTTGTAATGCCCTGGTGTCCCCATCCTCTGGTCATGATTTGTACATGAGCCACAAATATATATGCTGTATGAGACTTTAAAATATCAATATGAGCTCATCCACAAATCATCTTTACACTGCGACTACAGATTTACTGTATAAATCATCCTATTTACCTTTTCCTCACGTGTCGCCCCGCCGCCATCGCCAACCCCTCCGTCTCTGGGCTGCATCTCCAGCACAGTGCGGAAAAGCTTCTCCGAAGTTTGAGTGAGGAAGCCAATCTCAGCGTTGGGATGGAGGCCGTACAGGTAGGGCGACTCAGCAGGTAGGGTGTCATCAATGTACTGGAGCAAAAGAGAACACAACAGAAATGTTGTAGCATCTGAAACCCACATTTATTGAAGGGGTTCACAAAAGAGGCTGCATAATTGTTTTCTTTTTTTTTGTCACCTTTTTACCTGAACAGGGTAACATTTTAACCCTAATTCCCTACCATATGATCAGAATAAAGATTATAAACGCCAATTGCCTTATGACTCAAAAGTACCAGTAATTTCCCCATTCAGGTGGGTTCTCTTTTCTAAAGTACTGCTGACAAAGGACGATAGTGGAACCATATAAATGATGAGATATTTCTGGGTGAGATTCAAATACTCAGGATCAATTGACAAGCTGCTAATGACCAGAACCAGGGGGAGGGAAATGGGGCATTTTCCATCTGCTGGTCCATAATGAATATCAAATCTTTTAAGTTAGAGCAGATGAAAGTGGAAGCTCGGTTCAGACAGGCTGCTTTTTGTGGAGCACTTAAACAAAATTAAAAAAAGAAAGCCTCTTCTAATCATAATGTCCTGATGAAAGTTTTGATGGAAAATATGTTGACCTTTAATACAGAAACACTTTGTAGTCAGCTTGTTTGATCTCCTCTTTACTTGCTGGATAATTTTTGCTGATTGCATATACCTGCATATTGTTTAAAGAGCAGTAAAACTGCTGAGTTACCAGGTTGTTCTTCGTGTCTTTGTCACCTCTCTTCTCCATATACTGGAAGTTTGCTCCAGATGGTTGAGGGAGGTGATGACCTCACACACACTCTGGGACCCACAGGCCTTAACAGCCCCTGTTCTCTGGCCAAATCTTTAACCCCTAAACCCACAACCCCCAGCATGGTTGAATGGCGACAGCCAAATGTAAAAATGCTCCAGTCCTTCCCAACGGAGCCACTATGACAGTCAGGTTGTGCTTACTGAGCAGCAGACTGAGTGAAAATTAGATACAAGTTGTACTCGCCACTCCCTTTGGCTCCCTGGGGACTTCAAGGGTGAAATCTGGTCTGTCTGCGAGAACACGTTTTCTGACCCAGTGTTATTCCTATAAATTTTGTCAGTTGTCACTTTTTCTTAAGGGACACCAGTGAAGTTGTTTTTTGCTGTCATAGAATGAAGCTTTAAAAAAATTGACCCCAGAAAACAAATTCTATCACGAAACGGCCACAATATGCTCAGCCTAGCGTATTTATTTATCTCTAAGGATGATAAATAATATGTGAGCCTTTACAGCGCGCTGCCGCAGTTGACACGAGAGCCTGCCTCGCTTCTGATTTCACCCTGTCATATGCTGGTGTTAAATGATAAATAACAATGCACGACAAGTGAGGTGAGGTACTGAGGTGAGGCAGTAACCTGATAATGCCAGTGAGCTGTCACAGATTGTGTGTGAGCTGCTCTAAAGCAAAGTTAGGCTGCTGGATTCCATTTGTTATTGTCCATTTAACAACAAAACGTAGGAAAATGTATTCATCTACCTATTAATTCCTCAAGCATCTGCCTGTATGTGGAACACATATCTCGGGAAGCGTTTATTTTATACTTGGTAAGTGTATTGTTAGGGACCCAAGAAAGTGCAATCTCAAATTTGGTGTGATTTGGACATGCGAGATGTTCAATATTAATTGTCAGCAATTGGGTCAAACCACGGGTCAAAGTCACTGCCAAATCATTTTGATAATGAGTATTTTTACAATACCCTCGTTACAGAGACATTCATGAGTTTTGCAGGTGCTGAGCTCCGTCATATCAGCAACATTCATAGAATCACCTTCTCTTTACTATAGCAACTTTTCTTCAAAGTAAACCACAACAACTGATGCCGCAATGTTTTATATCGAGCTGAAATAAAGGGCTTTTTATTTTGAAATGTTGAGATCTTGCATCTGTAAATTGTGTTGATTACTTAACAGACCTCTAAACTAGTATATAAACCACACAAGTAGACATTTTATGAAAAACATTAACAATATTTTTTTTTATTTCAGATAAACCCGGTAGGACAGACTCAAAATGTTCTAACTTCAAAAAAAGTTCTGCACACAACATCCAGCACACACACAATAAAAGGTGACTGTTTGAGGAGGACTCACCAATGACAAGGAATAATTCTGAAGTAGATCTTGAGCATTAACACTGGACAAGAAAACAGCCCATTCCAAACAGACAGGTTTATAACAACACTATGCTAGTTTGGATAATGACCAACATTTGTGAACAGTCTCCAGGAAGATAATAGGTGTGGATAGATATGCACACTTTGTTGCTCACATTCATTTCTTCATGAAATGAAAAAGTGCTCAAGAAACAGGGGTTCATCCACAGGTTTTTGCCTGCACACATCTGGCTCACAGTGGTGGGAAGTGATTGTGAGTGTTACACTGTTGGTTTCACATACAAGGACACCCCTTAATCCTATGTGGGATCATTGAACCTATCCAGGAATTTGAGAAGCACTTTAGATGAATATAAGGTCAGTTTAAGGCTACAGAGGTTAGGATGGTGAATGGGTGTGTAGCGTGTTCAAATTCATGTCCAATCATAGACTTCGAAGAGTCGAAGAAACAATTAATAATTGTCTTTTTATTAACCGTAATTTTCCTAAACTGAACTGAACTCAACGCAGTGAATGCTCTATTTATTTATCATCTTCATATCTGTCCACCACACACCCAAGTGTAATATACTGTATATTCTATTTTACCTGTGCATTTTTTTCATTCATCTGTAAATTAACTTCAAATGACAGAATTTGTCACGCTATTTTAGGATTGTTTATTGTCTCTCTACTTTGAATTTTTGTCTTTCTATTTTGAATTCCCTGTTCCAAGAAGTATATGTATAAGTTTAAGTTTTAATAATTCATGTGTGTTACCATCTACTCTTGCCCCACACAAAATTCCATTATACTTGTACAGTGACAGTAAAGATCTCTTGAATTTTAAACTCAGCAATGCATTTTAGTTCTATTCTCTGTACACAATTTACTTGTGGATGTTAATAAGCATTTTGTGTTACATGACAGATCTAGATCCACTTATTTTGACTTCCATGCCTCTCAACGTTCCTTGTTAGATGACTTCTTAATCTCAGCTGTCTAACTTCAGGTTTGCCAGCGAGTTACTGGGAAACTCTTTCCACCCACGGAGCATCTCCACCTCTGAGAAATATTTGTATAACTCAAACTACAATCTGTTACGATCCAGGGACCCATATGGGAGTTTTATTGTTATTGATTTAGTAATGAATTGTAGAACTCTACACTGTACATTGGGAACAGTGATGGAGGAAGAAATACCTTTTAATAATAGTGATTCAATTACAGCAGCATTAAACTGCCATTCATTTTGCCACATTCCTTGGGGACCCTTGCTGGACCACAGACAACACTTCCAGAGGTGTAATCTTAGAATTTTCCTGTATTGTAACTATGTATTCATTGACCTTATCCTCTTTTTGTTGCTGGAATGACTTCATTTAATGTTTCAGATAGTCTAATGGCCTCATATGGTCTAACCTTGACTGCCTTACCTGGTGGTAGCTTTTATAGTCCATGTTTCCAGGCAATGGGAAGCCCGGCGCGAGACACAGGTCTCCCTCCATCATCTCAGGCTTGATGTACTCTTCCAGGTAGGTGCGACACAGACGGCGGTCCCAGTCGTCTGTGATGTGACCTCCATACATGATCTCACCAAACAGGTAGCGCAGGTCATCAAACGGCACCTGGGAATTAGAAACTTGCTTTGTTAGATGGTGGCCTGTGGTGTTTAGCTAGGTTCACGTGTTTAGATTTTCAATTAAGATTTCAAACGGTAGCCTTTGTAATCCTGTGCACAGGAATAAAAATATAAAAGTAACACGTGTACCTTAGGATTGGCCTCCAGGTAATTATAGAGGACGTTGATAGAAATGGTGAGGTCACCGATGTTAAAAGGGTATGATCTGTTCCAGCCTTGAGGACCAAACTTCCTCCTCTCTGCTACGACCGCATGGAAGTAGCACACAGCAAACAAAATACTCTTGAACTCGTTCTCCTGTGCGCACATTTCCAGCGTGTCCTGGAAAACAACAGAATGACACATTTAAACGAGGCTGGACTAATCACATCCTGAAGTGTGCAGTTGCATTAACAGAGACACGTTGGTGTGTTACAGGTAAAACGTTGTGGCAGGCAGCCCTGTGATCTCCTTTATTTAAAGTCCCCAGCGGTGTGGTGCACTAACAGACAGACAATGAGATGACTCGATGGCAATAAACCCTGCGATGAGATTCCCTTTTAATTGTCACAACTTGTCAGACGCTTTCAGCCTCCAACAGTCTCTGGGGCTCATTATTCCAGACAGGCAAATAAAAAACTGGACATAAATGGCATTGTGATCTCTGGGGGGAGAGACAGTTAAATAAGCATGCCAATAACCCCTATGGAAATGGGAAGGCTAAATTCTCTTTATTCCAGCATGTGTCATAGTGAGTGCCACGGTGAAGGCCTTTCACTCTCCCGGCTGCAGTGCCCTGGGGAGCTGATTCCTGTGATGCACACGTACGCACACACACAAGTACAGTGCAGGCTGACTACCACAGACGCACACACACACACACACACCCTATTGGAGGTTTAGTTAATATTCTGCGCAGTACTCCTCTGCTCAAAACAGCTGAAAGAGATGCATAGCCTTTCTATTCATGACCTGTGGACTGGAGAGAAACGACATGCAGTCAGATTGCAGAGAGACAGACACATGAGCAAACACATGCATGAACATGCACTGAAGGGTCACTTTAATATCAATAAACCTACATAGGTTAAGAGATTAGCATCTAGGTATGCGTGAGTCTGAGCAACATGACAATTTGACAGACACAGTGAATTGATCAGTTTCAGCAAACCCAGAATTGCAAATCCATAACAGCAACAACGGTGTTATAAAACTGTTATCTCAGTAAAAAAACGAAACAAGTGTGCTAGACATTAACATCAGCCCACCAGGACTCCACCTTACAGGCCTCCTAGAATGGAAATAGGCAGTGTAGCTGTACGCATCTCCCAGTGAAAAGGTCAGGAGGAAAGAAACTGTCATTTCTCTGGCTTAGCGCTGGCTTTGACCATGCGGGTGGGCTATTACAGAGAGTTAGCCTTACATTGATTAGCTTTCACTGAGTACACATGACTGGAATACTCCCTCCATACTTGCCTCAGCAGACCTCCCTTAGGCTCTGCATACAGCAAGGCTCACAAGCACAAAGTACTTATCAGGCAGATAGACATCGGCAAACCAAGAATCGTGGAAATGGACTGGGAGGGAGCCGAGCACTCAGGTAATGGTGCACAGGAAGATGCATTGGCAGAGAAGCACTGGGGTAATGATAATGCTCAGATAGAGATGAAGAAGTGATAAGGTAAAGAAAAGCAAGGAGAGTCCAGTGCAGCGCTCTGGTCCATTCTGACTATGACGCCTGTAGAACGGATCAGCAGCATGACAATCTTTGGCCACTCACTGATAACATCCATCTATCCATCTTCATGTAAAACCTCCATCTTCCCACAGACTGAAACCACACAATCTTTTGACGTTAGCATGTACTACATTCACATCTGTCCTCCATGGGTCAGTAGCAATTCCAAGGTGAGAGAGGTGACTGCAACCATCTGCCACATGCTGCATTTCTACAAATTGGCAACTTGATGAGAAATCTGGAGTGAAAATTGGAAAATGTGTTGTCTCAACTGCAGCTCATTGCAAAAAGGAAAATGAGTACTTCAAAAGAAATATGTATCATAAAGAGCTTTCAGTAGCTCTAAGATTGTTAAGATCCCAATAGAATAGGCACTTAGCACTCAGATTTTTCTTTCTCACCTTGTAGGACATTCTCACAAATTAAATAGTTTTTTCTTTTCTTGGAAAAAACATACCATATTTCAAAATGAATTGATATAATAATAACCACATTTACAAGGAGCTTTAAAAGTTAAAAACTGAAGGCAAACAAAATATATTAATGAAGAAATGATATTGACATCTTAAAAATTGTTATACTGTAGATACAATTGGAAGACATTTTCTGATAATTAAGTAAAAGCGTAAATACCAAAATGTAAAACCACTCTATTACTATTACAGTTCCAAACTTTAAACAAAGTTTCTCTGTCTCTATGAGTCTCCCCTGCAATACACTGGCATCCAGGTTGTACCACGCCTCTTGCCAAATGAAAGCTGTGATTGGCTCTGCCCCTTCGTAACCATCAGAGGATAAGGGGTTCAGATAGTGGATGGATGGATGAATGGATAGATGTTATCCAAAGTGACCGAAGCACAACACTAAAGCTTCAGAAAAGCAAAGGTTTCTGCTTTTGTTTGGATACATTCGTAAATACTTCCAAAAACCTTTTTTCACTTAGTTGAAATTGATGTTTAAGGGTTGACAATGGCAGATTTATCCATATACAATGAAATCGACCACACAATAAATTGTGAAAGGGTCTGAATACTCTCGTATTTTTAAAACAGCTGTCAAAAGCTGTGAAAGCAACACAGTAATACATTTATCTAATAAGGTAAAGCAGCTGAACATGAATTGAACACAGCAAATTGTTAATTATAGATCCAGCAAATACATTCTAGTTGTGTATCTGATTTGGTTTTGTAATACCTTTTATATTAAAAATAGACATGTGATCAACATTTCCCAATTAAATAATGTGCAAGTGTTTAAATGGAAAACATTCAAGTGTGGTACCTCAAATTGTATGTACAATATTTAGTTATTTTCCACCACTGATGAGCTTATTATTCCCAGATTGCCACTGGACCTTTACCTGGTTGAAGTTGTCTAGAGCCTTGTGCAGGTTGGCATGCATGCCTGTAGGTGGTTCATTGGTGATCTTGATGGAGTTCTCCAGGATGCCCTGTGGGATGATGTGGCCCTCGGGGGTGGAGGAGGGTTCAGCACTAACAAACACCCTGAAGTTCTCGTGGCTTCCCTCTGCGAGCTGCTCCAGAAGTTTCTCTAAAGAACCCAGCCAGCCAGCCACCAAGTGGATGTTCTACAGGGAGAGGAGCAGGAAACCGGGCCAGCAGGGAGAAAGATGAGGAAGAGGATGACATGTTATTGGTCGGGGACAAGCTAATTTTCCTCTCTGAGGGTTAAAAACCTAATCTTCACTTAGATAATGTTTTCTGTTGGATATCTGTGAAAATTCTGGGCTTTAATGGATAAACCATAATAGCTTAATTAGATGTTTGATGCTGGAATTGCCTGTATAATTTATTTTTGTAATGACAACTAGCAAAAAGGAGCAATTAAAATGTTGCATATTCTCCTCTCTCCACTGTGACTTTGATGTGGCACCAAATTAAATGGTACATAGCACTTGAAAAACTCATTTCTAGATTGCTGACATTACGCGACCATTCTCCAGCGCAACTTCAGCTGACTTTCTGCATATTCATCTCTCAGTGCAGCGAGGACAGGGGGCCTGACTTGTACTATCACACAAGCATGGATGAGCTCAATTTTCCATCTCAACTGTCCTGACACTTACAGGATATCCTGTGAATGATAAGGAGTCTGCCATGCCCCCCACATCTCACCATGCAGCGCTGCCCATTCCCTAAATCTAATTACAGCACTAATAACTACAGTCATTAATTCATAAGCCTCTTTGCGTTCTCATTTCCCTTTGCTCTCCATATTTAATCTTCCTTATGATGGCTGAAGTCCCTTCTTTCCGAATGATTGGACACGACATGGAGAGGAACGTCAAATTTTTGGGAGAGTCATTGAATAAAAGAAAGAAGAGGAGAGAAGTTTTACATTCTGTGGGAGAGCGGTCCGGGAGGAACTGGAGGCTGAGAAGGGGATAAGTTAAGTTTGCCTCTCGATGCCTTAGAGAATAATGAATAGTATACAAATTAAAAGTCTAAATTCAAGTGCTTTTTCATCAAGCCACAGTACAGCCCTTCCTCTTGGCATGTAAATACTTTGGCAATAAAGGGAGCCAACAGAAGAAGTGAGAGACTGCCTCAGAACTTGTCACTGTAATGAAACCATTCATCCTCTGGCTGCAGGGGGAGAAGAGGGAGAAGAACAAACAGAGTGAGAGAGACAGACCAACAGGCTGACAGACAAACAAACAAGACAGAGGAGCAGCCACTACTTTATGGCTTTTTAATTAACTTTCAGGTGCAACATTTTTTTTGTTCCCTCAACGTCTTCTTGATAAGAGCCTTCCAGCCCCTGTGATGACGGCGCTGATACTACATCAAAGAGTCACCTATTTACATAGTAATATAAAAGTTGAATCTAAAACCCATTAGAAGCCACCACTGGCAAGGTCTTTGATGCATTGCTATCACACATAACCTGAGGGAAAGCACAATGGCACATTCAACTGCCTGTCACACACACAGCTTGTACAATAGGAAATATATAGAAACACGCAGGTGCACGCACACACTCACAGCGAAAATTTCTCTTTCACGAAAGCAAAAGCACATTTGTCAAGGAGCAGCGCTGAGGACAGCTGCACAGCTGGGCTCCAGCACTGAGGAGGCGGCCCTGCAGTGGAGAAGCCGTCAGACTCCAGACTGACGTCGGAACACTGTGTGCCGAGAGCATAACAGACTCCTGAGTCTAAAGTTAAAACTGGTCAGGATAAATTTGTTGGATACGAATAAACACTTTGGGCCTTATCTGCGCGTGTAAAAACGTGTGCAAACTAGATTTCACTTGCAAAAAACATGCAAGCTGATCTACTAACGGTGAGCACTAAGGATTGTGTGCAGAATAACATGCGCTTTCCATTTAGAACATTTGCCTTAATGAATAATCAATATAGGGTGTTTCTACCCCAATGCACAAAATATTAGGAGGAGTAGATACTTTAATTTAGAACACGCATTGTGATTTACAAAGCCTGAAAATAATCTCAGTGACTGTGACTGCATCTAGATTTATTACGTTTGAAAGGTAGGTGCTAAATAAAACTGAGCATTCACAGCCACTAAAGAACGGAATATTTACCTCAAGCCTCAAGAAAAATTAACATCGACATTCATCATGTCTTCCTATTTCCCTCTTTTGTCAACATTACATTTTTAGCTGGGGGTTTTCTTTTTCGCAAGTTGTGCTTGTTGAGAGTGCTTTCATCTCCTCCCGTGCGCTCTCCTCCCTCTCCATTCCCCTGCTGCTCCGTTGTGGGACTGCTTGTGTTGACAGACCACACCACTGCCTGTACCCCATCTTCAATCCCTCTTGCCAGGGCACTGATGGCCATCCCAGATACAGCGCTGACCTGAATATTTCTTTGCTGTAGCTCAACAACATGTTTGTTTGCCTTTTTCACTAACACATCCAATTCCATGGCATTGAATTTCGCTTTGCACTTGCGGTCACTCTGCTACCGTAATGCTCCATGGTGGAAACCAGTAATGCACACAAAACACTCATTTAAATACTACTGCCTTGACCATGTTTGCACCAACCAAACGTCTGTTATAATTCACACACAATTCACTCTTTATTTAGGATCTTAGTAGACCAGGCCCCTAGATTTTGGATGCAATGCTTGTTCCAAAGCCCTGGTGAGAAGGGAGGAAGGTCGGGTGTAGTCAGGAAACCGCTCCCTGTACAAAACAAAATCTTTGCTACAGAAACAACTGAATGACAGCCTCCAACCCTGGTAGAGTAAGGTTCCTCACTAAAGAAATTTAAAAAAGCCATTAAACCACAGCTAAGAGACCAGCCAGCAAGCCCTTGGCAGAATAGTTAATGTGTAGGCCAGATTGCTCTGTAACATAGTCAAGCAATCTCTCAAACGGTTTCAGCTACACACTCCATCGAAAAGGCGGCAAATGACATCGTTGACAGAAACACTCTGGAAACTGTTCTGAGACAAGAGCAAAATGGGAACTCTTACAGAGCGACGTCAAGCAGAGTTATCCACTGTGAACAATTGGTGTCAGGAAAAGGTCCTACTGCCCCCGCTCTTCTTGCATCTGGGTATTTACTGGATAATGAAGACCACCACAGCACAGAGTGGACAACCACAATGCAGCTGGATGATCTGAACTTGACCTCACTTTATCTATATAGTGCTATACCTCACGTCAACAGCAGACACAGAAAACAAGAGAACTGGCAGACACCTCGCAAGTATAGATCTCAACATCCATAAATGGATGCCACCATCAACAAGAACCTCAGGTAAACAACCTGTGGAAGAGGAGATCTAAACAACAAGGATGGGCATTGATCAGGCACACACTCCAGAAACCCAATGTCACCTGGCACGAGAATCTTGAGAAGGACGTCAAGCAAAGTGAGCTGACATGGAAACATAAAACAAGACTGAAGACTGGCAAACTGCAGTCAGTGGCCTATACTCTATACCCTATTACTGTCAGGCCTTTGTTCGTCCCCCAGTGTCTCGTGTTCAACGTGACGAGCATACCAACTCAAGCGCTCTCTCACCTCGCTGTCTTGCCAAATAAGTGCATTCAACCAGGTGGCATGTTTCCATCACTGCTGATCAGGAAAGAGTCGATAAAAACATGTATCTACTACAGAGTCATTTCACCCGGGAGTGAACGCTTGTATCCAATCTCATTGCAGACAAAAGCCAGATGATAATGTGTGGAGAAGCCCCTTAAGTATGAAATTACGATTTGGGTGGACTGTTCTTAATAGTCATCTAAGTCTCTGTAATACATTTAAGTTATATTCCTCAGTATCAATGCAGTAATTACATTTAAACACATAGCAGACAACAGAGGAGAGGATGATCAAGTATTAATCTCAAGTATTATCTGGTTGTAAAGTGAAATGGTATTTTGAGCATCCAGGGTACTGGAAATTCTTGAATCTTGAATGCAAATGATCATAACAATCATTACAAAAGATACACAACTATGGTAGAAAACATAAACAAATATAATAATTCTCAATATAAAAGGAATGAATGAATCATTTCAGTTTCAAAAGCCGACCACAGGACTCTGGCTCTTCCCAAAGTAAAGTGACGAGGAAGCCTTTTCCTCAAACTGTCACTGCTGCTTTCTGTTCTATTCACATTCTTTTCTTCCACTGGCTGCAAATGGGGTGGCATTAGCAGTAAACCTTCGAAGAAGCTGGTGAGCTTAGGCCACTTGATTCTCACTGCCTGGCCAATGTGTGATATTCAACTCCAATCTGTCCGATTGATTGCCTCTCTATCTCACCCCCTCCTCCATCCCAATCGGCTGCTTTCAAAGTTTCTGCATCTCTGTCTCACAGGCCCATCTGAGCCAGAGAGGCTGTTCTATAACATAATTACCCGTTGACGAAGGGAAATCTGCCTTTGACCTGGCCGTCCACTGATTGAGCCGGGCCCAGCAGCGGGACAGTAAAGGTGGACTGTGAGGGGATGGGGTTGATAAGTAGGAGGATGGCTAAGATGAGACAGTAAGGAGGGGAGGGAGAGGTAGCAGGTTAGCGAGAAATGTGGGAGGACGTGAGGATTGATAAAAAGGTAGATGCAATGCAGAAAATGATATGGCTGAAGTGTGAACATTGTTGCAGGAGGTGGAATGAAAGGTTGGAAAGAGGAATAGAGGAGACAAGACGGAGCATTCTAGCAGGAGAAAATACTGTTGGTAAAATACAGAGAGATGAGAATATGATACTTCCCCTCCCCTTAGGTTTCCTCTCCCTCCCCTGCCAGTGCCACGGGGGTGGCTCACAGCAGGCAGACAAACGGACAGCTGATGATAAAGCGAGTGGGAGGTTTGTTGCCAGGGGGACAAGGCCTTTTTAAGCCTATCGATCGGGATTCTTATGCAAAGGTAATTAAACATCTGCTTGTCTGTGCTATCCTGGGTCTTGAGCAAAGAGTGATGGCATCCCAATCTTTTTTTTTAATTTCTACTAGCTGTGAAATTCAAAGAAAAGGGTGTCCTGCAGTGCCCAGTCTGCGGTTCATATCTGTCAATACTTCCTATTGAAATTCCACCAAGGTTTCCACTTAAAATGCAAACGCCAGCCTTGCCCTCCAGATAAGAGAAGAACAGACACCGTGGCTGTAGATATCGTACTGTATAATGGTGCAGCCCTTTCAGTGAGGAAATTTCTGCAGAAAATTAAATTCACTTTTTAATGCAGATAAACCTGGGTAGAAAGCAAACATCCCATTGAGTATGCAATGAAGAACAATGTGATAATACTACCGGACTCATTCACAACACACACAGATAAAGGAAATGCCACCCGAAACCACTCCTGAATAGAAAATCCTTGACATAAATGAACCCTGCATTCATTTCCCTAACTGTGTTATGGATGCAAGTGTTTTTTTGTGAATAAAATATCTGTCACTTTTCATTGCAAATGTATTTTTTATGATCTGGCACCTTTTGTGAGAGATAGAGTTTATTACATAGGACAATGCAGTGAGTCCCACAATGTCCGGAGAATCATACCTCAGCATGAAATAACACAGTAGGTATTTTGTTCAAATATCTCAAACTATAATTACATCTACGCTACATGATTGTTGGAACTTTCTGTGAAAACAAAATAAGGTTGTGTATGTTCTGTCCGTTGTGAATTTAGGTTGTGACAAGTATTTTGTTGTGCTTTGGATTAAATACCACAGTAAAATATTTTTTTCTTTGTGTACAGTGTGCACAGCATGAGTATGAGAATGCTGTACCTGTAATATGACCCAATGGCCCTTCTCAGCTGCCAAATTGAGGGCTTGTTCAGCAACGACCTCCTGGCCTTGACCCAGAGAAACATTATGGAAATTCTTGTTGTCAAATGTGAAGCCAATCTTCTTCCCTGAAACAAAGAAGACAAGTGTCATTTCATAGAAAAATATCGTCCTGACATGCTGGTTAACTATAGGCCTCAAACTGTTGTTTAATATTGTCATTAACACTTGCTCTTTTTATCCTACTGAGCATTTAGCTTAGTAGTAGCATTGGTAAAGAGCTAGCCTTGATGAAAGGTAAATAAAAACATGTGTGATATGATGATATATGAAGTGTGATGACAGAAACGTGTTATATTGTTTCCTAATATTCTCTGTATCCTTCATTTTGTCTATTTTGATGAAAGGTGACAAACATGTGGAAGACACTTTGTGTTCTTCCACACGGCATTCATTTCAGCAGGATATTGAAATGAGGGCAACACAAACAAACATAGAGGACAGCGAATGTGAAAGAGAACGGGGAAATTCCCAATAGGAGAAAGATTCTAAGGAGCCAAGACAAAATGGGAACCTSATRCCTAAAGCTACTWMTGTTRGAKGAAAARTSTGAAATKGACCATAAAACCGARCTTTGCAAATTATGKTKCAAACCAGTCCCCACAACATATTGAAAAAAACATCACTACCCTCTTGTACCTACGCAAGACTCACGTCAAACAGTAAGGAGAGAGTTATGGATGA